GAGGGTGTTTTTTTGTACACCATGTTCGCTTTACAATGCTTGGCTTAACTTGGCTTAGCTTGTTTTGAGCAGGGATGGGGCGGAGGGGACGGGTTTATAAACATGTGGGGGGGTACATATACATATACATATACATATACATATACATATACATATACATATACATATACATATACATCACATATACATATACATATACATATACATATATATATATATTCACACACACACACACGTTTTTGCACATATATGTATATATACACGCGCATTTTGGCATGTATATCTCTCTATAAATATATATATATATATATATATGTATGTGGAGATATACGTACATATTATTCCTTATGTACATATACATCCTCATCATCAACATCCTGATCATCATCATCATCATCATCGTCATCGTTATCATCCTGAGAAAACGCACGAGATGAAGGTCTGGGAATGAAGGCTTCGGCTTGATGGTTGCAGAGGATTTTGTTTATGCTTACTGTCTGCAAAAAATGCATGGGCCTACATAACTAAAGCAGCAATACGGCAAGTACATCTGTAAGTAGTTAGGAGCCTACGTAAGGGACTAACTTCTCCGTACTAAGTTGCTGGTCTTTCTTTCTTTCTTGCTTCATTCGCTTTTGCTAGTTCGCTCTTTCTTTATAGCTTCCTGTCTTTCTTTCTTTCTGTGTTCTTTCTCTCTGCGCTGAATTGCTGTTCCTTTCCGTCTGTCGTTCTTTCTATATTTCTTTGTTTATTTTGTCTTTCTTTCGATTGGTTATCTTTGCTTGTTTTACTTGCTTACTTCGTTTTTTGTTCTTTTGGTCTGTCTTTCCTACGTTATTTATTCGATTCGTTCCGTCTTTCTTTGTCTGAAGTGCTATCCTTCTTTCTGTGTTTCTGTTTGTTGTTCTTTCTTACTTTCGATCTTTCTTGCTTTTGTTATTTGCTTATCTTTGCTTCTTTCGTTCTTTGTTTCTTTTCGTTCTCCTTTCTAGACTTTGCTTGGAGTATTTTTTTGGATACCTAGGACAGGTGTCTATCCTTTGTGTTGTTCCGTTGCCTGTTGCCTTATATTCTGCTTGTAGAATACTTAATTTTGTTTTGTTCAACCCCTATCCCTTTGCGCCTTCATGGCTGTTTGTGTATCTATGTGCATGCATGCATGAAACTATCTCGATGTCTGGATGTATGTATGTATGCATGCATGCATGCATGTATGCATGTATGTATGTGCTTGTGTGCATATACATGTACATATGTACGGCTGTACATATGCACGCATGTCCATACATGAGGATGTGTGTATATCCTGACATGTATGCGTGCGAGAAAATCTTGCACATAGGCGTTTCCATGTTCGACGGTTTGCATACGCACAACATATGCGCCGCAATGTTGCAATACTTGTAGCATACTCATGCGAATGAAGGTCTGCAGAAAACTCGCAAATTATAATCTAATTGTGCTGTGCTTCTGTGTAGGCAAACGCCCCGGCACATACTGCGCAAAGCCTGTTCCAAGCACACTATCGGTTATATTCCACTCTGCCATGTTCTATGGTATGCTGTTGCATGAAATGGCATTCTGCCACCACAACACCTCTACAGCATGCTGTTACATGTGATATCATATTAGCTTGTACTCCGCCCCGCCATAAACTTCGGTCCAGGTGATGCTTGCAGCAACATTGTAGAAACGCACATGTGATTGACAATACATGCTGTACACACTTACTGGGACTTACTGTGATCCCATGCTCTGCTTCTTCCATGGCCTGAGCGCATGTAGGCACCTTCACCAACTGCTGACCACATCTCCGCTTGCCACGACTCGCTGCCACAAGCTGCCAGTACCAATCCCACCGCCGAGCATTCCATGCAACCGTCTTGTCGCATGTTCTATGCTGCTTAAACTTAAACTTCTAGGCTGATGCCCGTGATTTGCGTCCTTTCCATACGTCTGAGTGTCTTGTCGGGGCGATTGGAATAAAGCAAGATTACCCACTTGTTTACCATTTCTAGCATCCCTTGTCTTGGAAAGTAGGACTCCCAACGTAGACACACTGCATCTTATGATCAGGCATCTCCACGACATGTGCTGCAGACACACAACGGTGCAAGCCACCAACGCACAAGGCCCCTCAGCCCACTGGCATTGAACTTCCACCGTCTTTGTTGCACGTGGAAATACGCCAGTTCCGACTTTTGTGAGGATCGCTGGCACAAGCCGCAAGCGCACTTGGACAGAGCTTGTGGCCTCCTTCGTGCACGCAGGATTCCGGGGCTTGTCTTCCTAATCGCGTTTCTCGCGTAGCTTACACTGTGTCAACATACAAAGCTCGAGATCCAAGATCCCAAGCCTGACGGTGCAGATCCCAGTGGCGTGGTTGCTTTGCTCCACGATCGAGACCAACCTGGGCATTTCGATATGCCACGCAGAATGCTAGACTGGAAAGCCCCTCCAGCCGCAACATCTGACCGCCTTTGTCGGCGGCATTCTGGTTATGGTTCCTTCCGTGATACCTTTAATAACCATAACAACAAGAACAATACATTGCGATAGTGCCTGTTCTGGCCACAACACCTGCAGCAAGATCAGCATTATTGCACAGGTATGCCCTGCAGCGCAAGCGGCCACCAAAGCCCTCTGCGAAACGGCGGCCCCCGGCTTCTTTGCTGCTCGCACGGTGGACATAGATGGAATAAGCACCATACCTAAGGGCCCAAGGCTTCAAGGTCGTCGAGGGAATTGGCCTTACGTTAGATCTGCCTGGAAATTGTCGTGTGCTGCATGCATTGCTTGGACGTTCTCAGCGTGGTTCGTATCGTGGCGGGCTATGTAAAATGCCATGCCCTATGCTCCCAATGCATGAGGACCATGACGACGGTGGGATTGAGAAGGACGACCACCTGCTGCGATTCAAGGTTTACGAAACCAAGAAGTGGTCCATGATTTAGACTTTAGAATGAATCCAGCTCTACTGGTGACGGCAGCAATCATCTAACAATAATAGGGCGCGAGAGCAAAGATTGCAACGCACCACAGTGGATCGCACACCGCACAGGTCATGTAAAATAAAATAGGAGGCGGAGTCAAATTTTTGCAAGCGGGAGACACATGTCGGGGACCCTTTTGGCACGTGCACGGGCCGCGGGGGTATGCTAACCCATTCGATTCACCCTGAGAGTAAGAACAACATAGTGTTGCCACACTTCTCGGGAGATAAACCTTTACAGATACACATGAATGTTGTACCGGGGAAACCTGAAGAGCAGCTAACCCAAAGTTCTAGGACCCTTCATGCAAGGACCCCTGAATATCCTCGGGCCAGGGGGCGCGCCCACGTCCGCAAAGAACCTGTCCCAAACGTCCTCGCAAACAAAATCGCAGTAGCAACCAAAGCGAAGGTCCTACTAACTATCAAGCTGCAAGCACTACGATCTACACTCCAGGACGTTTATGCCCCAGGGTGGGACAGACAAGATCCGCTGCCCATTGAACAGACAATGCGCACAAACTCACAGCAAACTTGGACAACCTGGTGATCTGGTGGGCTACCGTAGGTGCTTCGATTCACGAGCCTCGAAGTCCAAACCATCCACGGTTAAGAACAGGAAGGCGACCTACCACAACCCCGCGGGGAGAGCTTCTCTCTGCAGTTCCTCATTCCAAAGCTGTTTCTTGTGCTCCTATGTAAGGGACGACTTGCTCACCGATGGTTGGCTGTGAGGAGGGGGCACAATGCACATTTTGACAAGATCAGACGATGCGGGTGCATGCGACTCTCTGGAGTCGACGATGGAAATGCCGCTAGGAGGCGCTTATCCGAAGCCGGCTCGGCGACCGTAACTTACAGTTGGATGCATACTTGTCCAGGTGCACGTAATGAGGTGGTGATGATCGGATGATCGTAATAAGAGTCCTGGAGTCATGGTATGAGTCTTACGGAAACAAGCGAAAAGAACCGTTCGTGGATCCACATGGCATTCGGCACTTCTAGTGACTCCTCATCCTTGACCTCACCAGCTTCCAAAACCCTCGGCTTTGTAAGCAGGCCTGCTTCTCCGAGCTCGGCCAAGCAGGCAGCACGGAGGGAACCGAGAAGTGCTGTACCTCGTGCACCGCGGCTCTAGCTGCCAAAACTTCCTGCAAACAAACTCAAGCCGGGAATTTCTCTCCGAAAGAAAGACTCCATGCCACGCTGCAATTGCCGCTCCATTTGAATGCCTACCCGTTTCGTCTTGTGCCGGATATTTACAGCACAGGAAGATCCCAATGAGGTATCATGACGTGGCCCCGCCCTATACGACTGGAGTCCTGCCGCCCCGCCCTCACAGAAAACAGGGAGTGGTCCAACCGAGACCTACAGAGAGAGGGCCTGCTCGCGCTGGAAGGAAGGAAGGAAGGAAGGAAGCTAGAAGGAGGGAAGCAAGAGCGATGCGCGGACCAGGTGTAGCAGAAAGCAGATCATGCAGACTCTAGGCCAATCATACACCCGAGGCATCAATCGATGTTCTAAGCTGTCACACACTAAACTTTACACAAGGCACCACGAACAGATCCGTCTCCATTTTCTCGGTGATGTACCGGTGCCGCTTCCTGAGGAGCTTCCTTGCGCGGCTTTTCCGAACACGAATCAACGAGGGGCGTTTATCATTGCACAATGGACCTTCGCTACACACGATACGAACTTTGCTAGTTGCTTACAAGCCTGTGAACATGCATGCCGAGTCACTCCAAGGCGGCTGCCTGGTGGAGTCAGTTGGAATGTATGGAAAAGAACCGGGTAGCACGCTTCCTGTCTCCCTCCAGTGTGAAGTGATTGTTCTCTCTGGGCCGACTGTACAGTACTTCTTGAATGAATAAACAATGTGACCGGACCGGCTCTGAAGCGGCCTATGTATGCCCGTCTGCATGTCGCCACACCTCGCGGCTTGGAGTGTCCTCCGTGACGAAGAAGCGTCGAACAAGCGATCGCATCAAGGTCATGTTGCTCAGATTGCTCAGCAAGCCTTGTCTGCCCGTGCAAGTGGGATATCACGCTAGGAGTGGGAAGAGGGGATTGACAAGCAATCCATGGGCCACTGGCCCACCAGACTTACCGAGCTCTACAACGAAGAATGTCAGCCTCATTCAGGGGGACCACCACAAGCCATTCTAGCGAATCGATCCATCGAATCGCTGTGGCCAAGGACATGAACATGTCGAACTGGTGGTCTAATTGGTTGTACTCGTAGCATTTCCTGTAACGACTTCTCAAACTCCCCATGCTAGCATGCTCTCAAAACCGAGTCACTCGACGTGTTCTCCTCAGCACAGGAGGCGTTGTCGCCATCTGCAGCAAGCAGCAAGGTGCTGTGTGGAGGTTGGCATGCTAAGGGATATGCGGCAGGGTATTCCCCGACTTCGGCGCGTCCTGCAATCAATCCCAAGCGTCCCTGATGTTTATGTTACAGTCCGTGCTGCCTGACGCTGAATCTTTGAACACTCGAACTATGGTTGGGTTGCAATAGCTGCTGCAACTGCTGCTGCCACTGCTGCTTCCTCCTCCTTCTCCTCCACCTCCTCCTCCTCTTTGCTGCTGCTGCGTGTCGCGGCTGCGGCTGCTGCAGCTGCTGCTGCTGCTGCTGCTGCTGTCGTCCTTGTTGCTGTGGCTTACGTGCGTGTCGTCGTCGCTGTGGTCGTCATTGTTGCTGCTGCTGGTACTGCGTGTTCTTGCCGTTGCCCTTGCGCTTGCCCTCGCTCTTGGTCTTGCTCTTGTTGCAGTCGTGGTGGTCGGCGTGGTACCAGTGAGAGACCATCACCGATTCGCGCCTTGTGGTCCAAAGAGCCAGTGCCGCCGCGCATCCGTGCTATTGCCGGCAGAAGCCTCCGCGGCCTCCGGCACACTGGAGTCCTTGGGGCTGGGCAGGCTTCAGGCCCCGGCATGACGGAATGCCGCGAGAGGTTCGAGGAAAAAGGTTCATGGTTTGCATGGCTTGTCACGATTACCTGGTTCTCAGATGTTTTCGACAGGGTCTGTCTTCGGAAGTGCTTCAGGCCATACGCTGAAGTTCATTTTTTGCTGCATGCGTGGATGATCTCGAGGACTTGCTTCGTCGGTCTGGAGATGTAGGGCAAGGATCGTCATACAAGTAGCACCTCGGAAGAGACTCCTGCAAAGGTCAAGGGCCGATGAGGATCAAGCATGCCGTGGGACTGGGTATCGGAGCGAAGGTTGCGCTGTCAGATTCGTTCGCCGGCTAAGCGGCTAGCCACAGGAAGCAGGACACTTGACAGTCACACATGCCTGATTGATACGCTGTCTGAATTTGAATGTCCCCTGTACATCTCACCTGGACTAACTAGTACTATGGTGGCCCAACTAGATCTGCCTGCATCGCACGAACACTTCGGGAAACATCAAACGTCCCTGCCACACACTTGGCTGTCGCTGCCAGAAGTCGTTGTCGGACTGGTCTTCCTCCAGTTTTTCAAGCTCTTTCTGCAGCTGGCGAAGGTGCTGGAAGTGTCTCCTGGCATGCCTTGCACTGTGGCGGCGAGCATCGTTCTGAAATTCTGAATATCCAAGACTTTGCTCTTGGTCTGGGTTGGTGCACGTACTGTGATATTGGCGTAGTCGAAATGCAGATTCTCGGTTTTTGCGCAAGGTGTTAAATGAATATGCACGTAAGCACTTGAGGCCACACATCGTTGTCAGACAATGCCGTGTGTTATTCAAGGCGCCACATTTGAGACCTACACAAAGTTTGACCCTGATCCTCGTCCAAATTCCTTGCCAGAGTCTAGGTGACATGCAAAGCCAATGCAAAGCCAAGTAACCCCTTTACCTTTACTGCCGCCGCGACGCCCTGGCGCCGAATCCTCGGCCTCCAGTGCCGCCAGGGCTTCACGGACTTTCTCCTGGCAGAGCTCCGGAATCAAGGAACACATAGGCCTCCCGACGTCGCAAGTACAATAGCATGGGCTAAGATCATCGTCATCGTAGCGATCATGAATGAGGATCAGAGAACAACCCTTGCCCTCGCAGGGAAGAACCGCCTTAATTTTCGTTCCTTCTTGTGGCCTCGGGCTTCCAGGTTTCGTTGCCCCTCTGTGCAACATCGGGATGGCCCCGGCCCTCAAGCTCCAACTGACCTGCAAAATCTGAAAGCCTAGGAACTCGGCCACTGCAGCCCGTCAAGAGCCGCCAGCGCATGTGCGTGGATTGTTTGTTGTCGTGCGGGCTCTTCCCCGTCGTCTCGGTGTGCGTAGTTTAATTGCTTCCGCCAAAACCCACGCAGTTCAATTGTGCTTTCCCATGATTAACAAGCACACACAAAACGAAAGCGCGCAAAGGACATCTGAAAATAGGCTGTCAGCAACTATGGGACTTTTGGAGATCCTGTAATGTTCCGGAGGACAGAGAAGCATGTTGGATTGTAATAACCAGTACGCAGCGACACCATTCTCCGTGTGAATGCTCTGCGCTTTTCGTCAAAAGCTAGGTACAGCTCCAAGCATTGCCCGTTCGTGAGCGAAAGCTGAGCTCTGGGATTCGCACTCCACTCGAATGACTTCAGGCAAGCACGGAAAAGCACCGCGAAGAGTGCCAGCACAAGCATCTCCACCCTCGGAGATCTATGCTCAAAGCTGGAAGCAATCGTGCCAAAGCAAAGCGGCGCTAACAAATACTAACAAGTGCAAGAGGACTGCCTAGGACCTAGGATTTGGGGTTTGAGTAATCCTGGAATCATCTCCCTCCCACCCGCCTTGACTGCAATGACAAAAGCACTGCATGCACCGGCACTTCAGAAAGCTGGAATTACGAAAACCCCACGAATATCCACGAATACCGAGTCGAAAGAGCCCTGAAACCTAGCGAGAAGGGCGCATGAAGAGGGCTATGGAAGGTATAGCTAGCATTGGAATTTTGGCTGTATCCGAGCGTTTTATTCTTGAGACAAAGAAGCTCTCCATTGGATCGAACAGACTGAACTTCAACCCCGAAGCGCTGGCGAGCTGTACACTCGCCCCTCCCAGCATACCCTTCCTCTCCTCATCCTCGAACTTCGCCCCTCGGCATGCCCATGCCACCAGAAGCAGAAGCAAACAAGGCAGCTGCGCTCTTCCTGCAAATTGGCGCCAGGGAACAAGTATGCTTCGTTGTATACTGTACACTATGCTATGTACTGTATAGGGCTTTTTGCTGTATCTGTTGCCGTTTATTTCTTTGATACTACTTGGACCAGTTACTTGGAGCTTGAACGCATTATATGTTACGTGTTTGTAGTTGTTTGCTGTAGGCAGACAATCCTCGGCGTCGCCTATAGCTACGAATCTACGATGGTATGCACATATATATATATACACACATATACATATACACACACATTACACTACATCTACTTTTTCAAGCAATGGACTTGGTGAATGCCCTGAATACCAGCACACACACGTGTGTGAAACGAAGGATTTAGTGTCACGGAAGGATGACGTGAGCAACGCGCGTCACAAATGCATCTGGCACGACTTCAACCTGCATCACAAAGCCGGTGCGTACTGCACAATGGTCGGAAGCGCAACTTCAATGACGTCGCTTGTCGCCAACACCACAACTGAGATAAGAACGTGTCCAAACTGTAAGACGCCACACATTTCAGCACAAGAGGATGTCAGTGTGTGTCCCGCCGCAGTGTACCGCTGCGCGCCATGTACATCTTCTATATAGACTTATAAAAAACATACAGTCATTGATACAAATATTGCATGAGAAAGATTATATGGTACATACAGCAGAAGCTAAAAAGTTGGAAACCCAATAGCCTCAATCCTTAAGAATTTGTCCTTAATCCGGTTTCCATTTTTGGATGGCTTTACTATAGATTATTGTTAAATATGTTCTAAAAGATGTGTTCTATATGATGCTACGCCTTCGACTGTGTGTTATAGTACATATCACACGAAACGTAATAGTACATGTTGTGTTTCGGTTGTATACTACATAAAACCTATCTGGTTCCATTATATGGCGTTTGGTTTATGTTAAGTCAAGTGTTGTGTGATAAACTATGATCTCGCTCTCTCTCTCTCTCTCTCTCTCTCGGTCTCTGCACGCTCCGCATCGGCTTTCAATGCGAAAGCCAGCACGGCCCTGCCGCTACTTTGAAGTATTCGATGACCTATTCGATGACGTTAACAGAAAAGACCCATCCTAGTTGAAAGGAGCTTCGCGGCTGTTTGCTTTGGTTGTTAAAACCCTAATCTGTGCGATGTTCTGTTCATCAAAGTCGGTGTTGGGATCACATACTGCATAGGCATCTCTGCATGTTTCAACAAACCAGTTCGCTCTTGGCTTGCCGACTCTACGAGTGTGTTGAATGCGTGGTCTATCCGCGCCTTGTTCAAAAAGTATTTGTTTCATTGGGTCCTTGGATGAAGCCCTCAAGACGTGGCCTAGTAAGGTGCGTTTTCGCTGCTTCGATCTGCCTGATAACTTGACATCTCGTCGCAACATCTTCGTTTGAAATGCATCTATTCGATCCTGATCAGTTTCCATCTCTTCGAGATGCGCGCTTTTGGCCAAAGGATCTCCAAGTTGGTTTTCTGTAGCACTAGCTTCCCCAACTGTTCAAAACTTCTTTATGATTATCTACTGCATCTGTCATTGTGGCACCCAAGTTTCTCGCTTGTGGCTTCCTGGGCACTTCATTTCCATTCATGTATTTACCTGAGGACTGGTTCTGATTCAACGTAAGGTTAGCACATGTGTCTAGATTTAGTTTCATTTTGTATTTTTGTGACTTTTGTTGGGTTTGGTGCAGAAGCTTGTTTATTGAATGTGTATGGGTACCAAAAATTAAGGTGTCATCCGCATCTAAGATTTCTGCATAATGCAGTCCAAGGATAGGCTCCTTTTGCTTTGGTGTGTTGAAAACCGACTTTATGTCATGGAAGATAGCTGTCATATTGATACAAAACGATACGGAAACAAAGGGCATCCTTGTCAGATTCCTTAGTTCTGCTCATGAAACCCTGATTTGTCCCCTCTTACGACACGTAACTTGGCTTCTTGATATATGTTCCTTTTTAGTCCTGATGATGCTTTCATGAATTGAAAATCTACTCAGGGTTTCTACTAGGCTGCATTGGTCAATCTTCTTGTCGAAACAATCTTCCCAATCCAGCAATATCATTGATGCAGTTAGCCACTATTGAGACTAGACAAGAACACTCCGAACCACAAACCAAGCCGACATTGACGTCTTAGACCCCGCGCCCGTCAATAAATATATGTAACTAATATGTACATATATATATACAGATATAGATATAGATATAAATATAGATATACGAGACACAAATATACATAGACACATACACCATATACCCACAGTATTCATTCATGCCCAAGCCGACTTCCAAGCTTTGCTGCTACATTTCCGTTGCGGGCCTCCTGGAGCTGCCGTACGGGGAGCGCTCCCCATGGCAACCCACAAAAACTAGCTCAGTCTACAAGTGTTCGGCCGTCGTCTTTCTCAGGCATCTGTCTTAATGATCATGAATTTTGATAACGTGAAGGAACCCTCAAGGCCAGCGTTTACTGGGGCGTGGCTGCGTCCCGCAAAAGACTTTAAGCACTAGCTGGCCGATGCCGGCCGTGCGGAGCATCGAGAATCGGGCGGCACTGGCACGCGAAAATGCTCTCCCAAGATTGCCTGACCCGGCAGCCGGTGACAACAGTGCAGGTGACCCTGCACTAAAAACTTGGATTGTCGCCGATGAAGAACCCTAGTTCCAGCATCCTCAACCCGTCTGGACGAACATGTCTGCCAAGCCCGGCACGCAGTGAGATCAGAATCTCTCTGAAACTTGGCCTCCTGCCAGGACAAAGGGTGATTTGAGCTGGCGACAAAAGCTGTCCAAAATCATCGGCGTGATGCAAAACACATACGCCACCTGGATGGCGCCACTGCCGCGCAATCGTCGTAAAGCTTCCGGAACGCCTCTGCCGACGTTGCGGCATCGGCATGCATGGCTACACGGCTACATTGATAGAATGCCCGACCGAACCCAGGACTCTTCGCAAACTTGGTGGAATTACGGAGATACCTCACTCGCCTCACCTGCACCACTTTCACTCACCCGTGGGCAGGCAAGGGTGCCAATAATTTCCAGGCTGTTGCAAAAAACTTGGCCTAGAGTCAAGAGTCAGAAGTGCTGCCGATTGCGAGAAGGCCTCTGGCACAGCAGGATGCAACTCGAGGTTGTATCCTGGCATTCTGCATGCGACAGAACTCTGGACGAGATCGCGGGGCCGCACAAAATTAACCTCAAGACCTGCAAACATAATGTCTCCACCTGTTACATGTTTTCAGGCTCAGCGGCATGGGCAACCACTGAAACTAGTGCACTGCCTGCCCCTTTTCGCGCGATGTTGTCATGTTTGTTTTGCTTAACATGCTGGCTTACCGGTAGCCGCAGCGCCACTCAAGCGAGACGGCACAAGCATCTTTTCTGTTCGGCCACCAACAAATTGTGACACGGATTCACGGCTGGCATGGTCACGTCTTGCATGAAACTGACCCTTCTCGGGCTGAACAGAACATGGTAGACATGGACATATCACGTCGCAATAAATGCAGTGTGCTGCATGACGGCGTGTGGGAGGGCGAGGATTCATCTTCAAGTTTCATTGTTTTCCTTCTGCATGGACCTCGAAACCGATCCCATCAAAAGCGCGCCAATCAACTTCGTCGACTGCCGATAAGACTGACGCTCGCCATCCTTATCCGAATCCCATCTTCCAGAAATCTGACTTCTTTCGGTGATTCCCGTGGCCTTGGGAGACCAGCAGAACCACCTCAATTGCTTGCAACTGTTGCTTCCTATCCAGCACACAAAACTAAACAAATTCAAGGCACCTGGATGGCGGAACAACCGAAGAAGGGCCTCTGCCCAGTCAGCGCCTGACCACATGCACCACACCCTATCTTGCATCTTCCTTGAATGTACAAATTAGTTCTGGTTGCGACAAGTCGTGACCAACAGATCTTCTTCTATCAGCGAGGAAGCGTATGTGTGTGTGTGTGCGCATGTCGTGGAAACCCGCCTGCCACATGAGCCGGGCAAACGCGAACACATCTCGCCTCGGAATGCTCAATGTCAAATTCATGATGGCCAAACCAACAAAGACCGATAACTGACCAAGACTATGTAGGTGCTGTCTGTGCGGCAGAAAATATGGCAAAAACTGAAAAAATGAAAAGTCCTTTCACGCCCAACGGCTCGCGGCTTTGCATGCTGCCGTCGCCCTCGGGTTCCAGGCACTCGAGGGCCAAAAAATTCACGGTCCCCAAGGACTTGCTGCACACCTGACAGGGACACAAACACTTGCAACAATTCCCTTCCAATCCCGATTGTGCTCGAACCTTGTCCACGCCATTTGGCACTCTGCAGGCAGAGCCGAAATCTCCGACCTGCGACATCAAAGCCCTTGTTGCACACATCACACATCATGTGGCACTCTAAAAACTTATCCCGTAGGCTTGGGAATTCAGCCTTGCAAACGAAACCTTTCCAACTGTCGTTGCTCGACAGCAGTACGTTGCCGTCTGCAAGGTCACCGTGCAGAACTCTTCGCGAGTGCCTAAGCCGAGCTCAGCTGCATACATGTCAAGTGATTCAATCAAGCCCGGTCATCCAAGAGCTCTAAGACTAGTTGCTAATTACTACTATTGCTGTTGCTGCTGCTACTGCTAC